ACACACACACACACACACACACGCGCGCGCGCTAGTAGTGTATATTTCGATGTGTTCTAGCGGAAAATTCATTCGATTTTGCTCATCCTATCGATGGAAGTAGCGTGAGGCCAGTCGCAGGGTTGGAGACTTACCTGTTGGCTGGTATTGCTCATCCTATCGATGGAAAACTCTCTCTCTCTCTCTCTCTCTCTCTCTCTCTCATGCACGCGTGCGCACGTCCTCCCTTTCACACCGCTTAACAACAACAGATGATGGATCGTCCGTTGAGAGAGAGAGAGCGAGGGAGGGAGAGAGAGAGAGAGAGAGAGAGAGAGAGAAAGGGTACTTCCATCGATAGGATGAGCAAAATCGAATGAATCTACCATTAGAACATCCAAATATACACTACTACACGCGCGCGTGTGTGCGTGTGTGTGTGTCTGATTCCCTCGGATCTTGCTCATCCTATCAATATCTCTCTGCGTGCATGGCTGGAAAAGTCTCTCTCTCTCTCTCTCTCTCTCTCTCTCTCTCTCTCTCTCTCTCTCTCTCTCTCTCTCTCTTGCATCCTCCCTTTCACACCACTTAACAACAACAGATGATGGATCGTCCTTCTCCCGCTCCCCCTCCTGCTGCTCCTCCCGCTCTTCCTCCTCCTCCTCCCGCTGCTTCTCCTGCTCTTCCCCCCGTTCCTCCTCCCCTTCCTCCTCCCGCTCCTTCTCCCACTTTTACTCCTCCTTTGTCGCTTCGTCTCTCTCTCTCTCTCTCTCTCTCTCTCTCTCTCTCTCTCTCTCTCTCTCTCTCTCTCTCTCTACCCCCTCGGCCCCTGGCACCCAGCCCGGCCTTGTCGCTGAGCGGCCTCCTTCCCTCTTAACCCCTCCTATTCCTCCTCCTATGGCCACTGCCTTCCCCTCTTCTCTTCCTCCCCTCATTTTCTCTCCCCCCTCTCTATTCCCCTCTTCCCCTCCTCTTTTCATTTCGCCCCATTCTTCACCCACCATATTTATCTTCTAATCCCTTCTCGACGACTCCTCAGAGTTGCCCTCTTGCTTCTTCCCCAATGCTCCTGGTGAGGCTTCTATTGCTGGGAAGCTGAAACCGGAAGAGCAACGCAGCAGACATCGCTTTCTTCAACTTTGCGCTCCACGGTTCGGCTAACATGTTCTCCATCCTTGTAATTATATCTCATTATCCACTTACAGGGACCTGTCCGCCTTGTAAAAAGCCTCGCGATTGTCACAGTGTAATCAGTGCAGCAATTCATTTCGTAGTGCTGCACTCGCCCATAAAATTAAGAACGTCATTACTAAGGTGAATAAAGCAATAGCTTCAGTTAAAGCAAATCCTAAAATGGATAGGCATCAGAGGTGAGTCTCTGCCAGTTTCACGTCATACAGCTCTCCATAAGTGTTCCCTCTCGAACTCATAACACTCACTCCCAGACGGGTCAACACTGCAAGCCTCCTAATTGTTTCCATCGGGGCAGATAACGTGATGCACGGGTTGCATGCCCCGCTCGCATGATCACCAAATTAAATAGGCCGCAAAGCGGCGGTAATAGTCAACGCTGCACCACTGGAAGCTTTTTACGCCTCACAAAGTGTTTTTGAGAATCTTGCAATTTGGATTTTTGAGAATCTTGCAATTTGGATTTTTGAGAATCTTGCAATTTGGATTTTTGAGAATCTTGCAATTTGGATTTTTAAGAATCTTGCAATTTGGATTTTTGAGAATCTTGCAATTTGGATTTTCGAGAAACTTGCAATTTGGATTTTTGAGAATCTTGCAATTTGGATCTCTGGTGCATGTCTTGAATTTTATGTCTGCTCGATTACTTTCGCATGTCAACTACGCTGTGTTTTCAAATGTTTGGTAGTTGGATACACGAGATAATCTATCCCGATCTGAAGCCATCGACGGACTTAGTATCTTGCACATGCTTGTCGCACTGATATCTGTGCACACCTCCCATCTCTCTTCCTCTCTTCTTCTCTCCTTTTCCCTCTTGCTCTCGTCTTCTCTCTCACTCGTGATATTTGAATGTGCAAATGATGCTTGATCCTGAGCTGAAACTTTAATCTCTGTGTCTCTTTTATCACATTTTTATCTCACTTCATCCTTCAAGGTGTTAATCGCTTCCTAAATGCTCCACTAAGGATCTCTCTCTCTCTCTCTCTCTCTCTCTCTCTCTCTCTCTCTCTCTCTCTCTCTCTCTCTTGTTTTTTTGTTTCCTGCGCTGGCTCCTCTCTTCGCTTGCGTCCCCGGCTCTTTTGACCTTTATGACCTTGCATTGCCTGGTCCTGGTTTTCTCACATGACCGCTGGCCAAAATGGATTGTCAGTGACCCGATGTAATGGGATAGTTCATTTCGACTTGTACAAGGCATGGTAGATGATGGCCGAGATGTAGGCTGAGAAAGGCAACAAGCGAGGGAGGGCGTCATGGTGGTAGATGAGCGCAAGCTGTTTCCTATGTTCCCGTGCATTGCTGACATTGGATTGCCTCAACAGATTGCCTCAACAGCAAGTGAAGAAAAGGCCTGAGTCTGCATTGTAGCCCGAGCAGTCCCAAGTGTTGAAGGCGTTGGCATGTTTGCTATACATAAGTCCACATTGTGCCAGAGTTTCGTCGAACTTTCGCCAACCGATCAGGAGGGTGATGTGTATGTGTGTGTGAGAGAGAGCGGGTCGAGTGCAAAGCAGGCTCCACAGCTGAGATGAGAGAGTTTTTTCTATGGGCTTCAAGAATGTAGTCAACCATATATTTTGCGAGGCCTGCTCCAGAGGAGGTATTTCTCCAGTGGTCTGCCATAGCCCTCAGGCTGTGGAGTAGGAGGAGAGGCTGAAAGGGGTCCCCATAGCCCTTCTAGAGAGAAGGACTCCACAGCCTTAGAAGTAGGGACCTGCCATAGCTTAAGGAGAGGTGTGAGGGGAGGAGGAGAGGACTTGGGAGAGAGGAAAACCCATACTCAGAAGACTAGAACCAAGCATTGGGACTCCACCGCCTAGAGACCAGCTAGAGGTGAGTGAAAGAGGAGGGAGACCTCCTCCTCCTTCTTCTTCTTCTTCTTCTTCTTCTTCTTCTTCATCCTCTCCTTCTTCTCTCCTTTTTCTTTCTCCCTTCTTCTTCTTTTTCTTCTTCTTCTCCTTCCTCTTCTTCCTCCTTCTCCCCCTCCTCCTCTTGTCAAAACTGCGATTTTCACTGATTTGGGGGCTTGGGTAGGTTGCGATTCACTTTGTGAAAGTTTCGTGATGTTTCCATTTGTGTTGATGCTTCAAACTTTGAGTTTTCACTGATTTGGGTGCTTCGGTAGGTTGCGATTCACTTTGTGAAAGTTCCGTGATGTTTCCCTTGGTGTTGATGCTTCAAACTTTGAGTTTTCACTGATTTGGGAGCCTGGAT